TTTAGTCTGAAATCTGTATGCTAGATATTGAGTAAGGTGGTTTTATTGTTTTTTGTCACTTTGAATAATATTTCTGTTCATGTTTAAAACAAAATCAACTCTCTGTATAAATATATCAGGTGACCGTTAAGGCCCATGGGCCTCTTGTTTTCTTTTTAATGTCTACTTACGTAAGGGCGAATGACCTTTCCGGTATTAAATAAGTTGTAGTTTCTTCTTTTTCATATTCAATCGTCCTAAGATGCAATTACCATGTAATCGTAATTTGTTATAGGTATTGGAATCGCGTTTCACAATCCACCCATATACATACTTCTCGGTGAATATTTTGACAAGAAAAAGGGCCTAGCAAATGCAGTTTTCATATCCGGAAACGCTCTTGGAGGAATCATCATGCCACCGATATATCGGTACGTATTTGACGAGTATGGACTGCGCGGGGGTCTTATTATCACTGCTGGTATCACGTTTAATTCATTGGTGGCGGCAGCATTGCTTCGTCCGACAGAATTTTACACTAAACATGATGCAAAGAATTCCTCTAATTTGAGTGAAGACGTGGACAAAGACGTTTCTGTGATGAATAGCAACACTTGCGAAAGTAATTCAAGCGATTGTCAGGATCAAGATACTCTATATCCCTTAATTTCGACAAAGGCAGAACAGGCTACGTTGCACCACAATATACTAACAGATGATACAAGTGATGCATTTGATAGAATATCTCATTCTAGTGTCGTGAGATATTTGAGTAATGGTGATTTAGTATCAGCTTCTTTTACTAGTCTGACAGGAAAGACCGAACAACATATCGCTGCACCGGACGAGGAAAATAGCGTTTCAAGTGAAGGCTGCCTGGTTAAATGTAGAAATAAAATAGATTGTTATTTGATGACAAATATTCTCTACCTTCTGTTTCTGGCAATCTACTGTTTCGGAAATGTAGCTGCTATGTGTGCTCACATCTATGTCCCAACATACGCCAAGGATATTGGCGTTGATGACCAGCGTATTGCTATAATCGTCTCCATTACTTGCATGGCAGACTTCGTCGGGCGAATTGTTGCTGGATTTCTGGCAGATCAATCGTGGATAAGTCCGCAACAGATATGTATTCTGGCGCAGGTAAGTCATCTACATTATTGTTTTGGTTCAGTTTAGTTTTATTAGGATTAACGTCCTATCTATAGGAACATTTTTGGTTGGGGTGGGGTTAGTGGGGATTATACAAAGTAAAGTAAGTTATCCCCAGAAATGATATCAATACATGTCTCTCAAACGTGGTGATTTTACTTGGTAAGTCGTTCAATAAAAGCATTCAAATAGGCTAATAGTCAACTTTACTTTTCATATTCCCTGCAAGTTCTGAGAAAGACTTCAAATGAAGAAATACTCCAAATGAATTAACCCCTTTCAGATTTGAGGAAACAAAACCTGCTATATCCTTCTGCATGTTATTGGAATAGGCGTTTATGGTGTATCGCCCTTCAGAATCTTGGGGTTATATCCTGTCTCTTCTGCTAAGAGGACGTTTTGAAGAAAGCAAAATTCCTTTTCCCATCGCATCTCTTGGGAAACATGATGAGGATCCCACTGTATGATCTATGAGGCAACACAAATTGGCCCCTACATGATAAGGGCAATTATTCCGCGTCTTTTTTTTAAAACTACACCGATTTCGGTTTGGTTAGGGTTGGAGGAGGGGGTTAACATCCTCGCAACAGCCAGGATAATGTTATGAAAACTAAAAACTGTTGAAATGAGGAAGTAGTTCAATTGTGGTCTCATCCATGGCCTCTTAGCATTAGACACAGAAGCAGTCCCCCCGATTCTACCGTGAAGGGGGGGGGGGGGGGGGGGGCATGTTAGACGCTCCTTGCGATCATGCAGTGAAATAAGTACTAAGTTTCTTACAGTACACGTGTTAAGAAAATAAATGTCACTAGGCTCCCACCATTATACAAGTTTTATCAATTCTATTTGAGCTCGATCTTTCTTTTTCTTGCACAACTAAGGACCAAGTAGAACCTACATATCAAATTTGAGAAAGATCACTAAAGTACGTACTGTAGAATTAGCAATAACAAACTTAATTTTCAAATCAAAGATGGCCATCTGTCGGCCATTTTGTTTATCCGATCAGTCTAAAAACTGAACATACACAACTACAGACCAAGATAAGCATACACATTAAATTTGAGAAAGATTGTTCCAGTAATTTGAAAAAGCGCCAACAAACTTTAACTCTAAAACTTCAAGATGGCGTCTGTCGGCCATCGTGGTTTTCTGATCAGTCATATAATTCGATATGCATAACAAGGGACCATGAGGAACCTTCATGTGAAATTTTGGAAAGATCCCTCCAGTACTTTATGAGAAATAGCGCTAACAAGAATTGTTTAAGGACGGACGGGCGGACGAAGGGCGATTTGATAGGCCCACCAACTGAAGTTTATCAATCTAAAATGTGGTTGGTTGTCAAAACTAAGAGAGGTTTTATACATTTCAGTATTTCTTTCTTTCAAGGTTGTTGTGGGCGTGGTTCTGCAGTTCACCGAGTATTACACTTCATTTTGGCGCTTGCTGGTGTTTGTCGTTATTTTCGGCTCAACATCTGGAATGACCGTCGCCTTGTTCCCTCCAATTCTGATAGAGATCGTCGGAAAGAAGCGTTACCGCAGTGCTATGGCTTTATTCATCGTTTGCATGTGTCTGTTTGAAGGAACTGCTCTACCCATATTAGGTAAAATAGTCGGAGAAAGAACATCCTTGCAATTATAATAACGTACCTTAGGATCAATCAATCATTGAAGACCATTGACCTATAGTAATTTAACACAGATTTACCAAGAAATCATCTTTTTTAGAAATATAGACATCCGCTGAGGTTCCTGCTTTACTTTAATGACTGAAATTGCCGGTGGGCCGTAGAAAAATACAAAACAAACAAAACGAGTGCAAATACATTGATGAAAAGAATGACTGATGCGACCTTTGTACAGAAAGTACAGTTTCTGATGTTATAGCGTGGCACAAGATGGTAAACACTTGATGTGCGACCTTTGATTACCTATATATCCACATGGAATATCTTTCAAGATAAATACTAGCGATATTTCGCATTATCAGTTGTCGTGCAGGGTTACAATAAATTCTTCTAAAAACTTCTACAGGAATCACTATTCAATGCCTATGATTTACTTTTGGATATTTTCAATGTGAATTTATATATCGCGGCTTGACGTCATACTATCGTTATTTACCTTTGTTTGAGATTTTACGTCGACTGCTAAGTCATGTGAAAACAGTGCGAGCAGACGATGCTTCTACTTATGTAGAACTTTTGTATCTCACTGATAACCTGGACAAAGTAGCAGGAAACTCCACCAATGACATTGTACTGCCACAGTTCGTGTTTGAGAAGAAACATCTCACTCGTGTGCTTATATGATTTATATAATTTCTCTTGAGTTCATTCTCCTGTATAATAATGATAAGTCGTAATCAATCATCTATCTATTTATTGCTTATTGCACTTAAGTGCGAAAAATAGTTTTTATACTTAAGTTAAAAAACCCACATAATGACGATTGTGTTTTTTTGGCATTTAATTGCAATAGTTTTTCACTTAATAAGTATTGGTCTTTTATCCTACAACAGCCACCGATAATGCAATACAATATAATTCAAATCATTGAAACTTTGATATTTGAGTTTCATAACTTTAACGCATAGGTATTTGATGTAAAAAGATCACTACATAATGACAAAAAGTACTCGCCATTACGTCAAGTTTTGTTTTGTATTTCAGTGCAAAAAACGACCCTTTTCACTCAAGTGTAAATAAATGTTTTCTGAACTTTAGTGAACTGTATGTTCTTTTGCACTTGAGTGTGAAAAACTTTGTTCTTTTAAGTGACAAAAGTGTTTTTGCACTTCAGTACAAAAAAACTTTACATAGTGTCAAAAAGTTTTTATCATTATGTAGTAATCTTTAAATAATCTTTAACTAATAGTTCTTTTGCACTTGAGTGCAATGACGTCGTTTTCAATAAGTGTAAAAAAAAATCCCCCGCAAAAAGTACTTTTTCTATTGAAGTGTAAACAACGCTTCAAAAAATGGGTATTGGAACCATCCATTTTGTCGAAAGGGGTATGAGGATGTTTTACTCAAGCCTATTTAGTTTTTGCCATTATGTGATGTTTTGCCAATTGAGTTCAGTTTTTTTTCACTTAAGTGTAATTCTTTTGCACTTACGTGCAAAATCTTTTTCACTTAAGTAGTTTTGGTATTTCATCTTTACAAATCTGCCTCGTCAATGAGATATTGTAAGTTTGAATTTGACCATTCATCAGAAACATCAATGTGTCTGTGACGCCATCGATATAAGTATATGTCGTAACGTCACTTTTGCCACAGGCCATGAACATGAGTGGCATTGGCAATGCAAACATCAGTCATACATGCTTAAATCTTATGTTTCAGGTTATTTTCGTGACGTCACCCACACTTTTCACTTCACATTCCACGTCATGGGAGGTTCATCATTACTGACAGTTGTGCTTCTTATCATATTTGAGGTCATCACACGGAAACAGGCACGTAAAAGGAAAGAATGTGAAACAGATAAAGACTGATGTTACCCGTCGTTAATGCTATATATACAAATGACGTTTCTTCAAATGGCTGCTTAGTTGCTAGATTCTTGCAGAATTCGTATTTTCTTACTTTGTTTCATTGACATTGTACAATGGTAGTTGGTTCTGACCTTCATTCAAGAGATGGTTACAATGTTTGGCAGTGACTGTTGGCTATTCACGGTTCAATTTCCCAAAAACTAATAGCTTGTCAAATGCTATCAACCTGTTATTGCAATATATGCTACCTTTATCAGTTATAGTTATATGAAATGATTTTAATTGATCAAACAATGACAAAGACATAAACATATATATTAAATATTTGTTTGTTGTTTGTATTTTTTTAAAACTATTTTTCAAAACAATACGTGGGTACGAAACGCAGAAGCATACACAAACCATGTACACATTATTGAACAATATACGATGTAGAATAAATCTGAAATCAGCAATAAATATTCCACAATTCATTGTTACTTTTGTGAAATCATTGTGAAATCAACTACAGTAGTATACGACACCACTGACTATGTACCTGGTCAAACTCACAATTACATTTAAAGTATTGATGATGCTAGCTGATTTTTCGTTGGGATAATATCTTGTATTTAGATGTATATTATGTTAACGATTGTTTTTTATTTCGCCCGGGAAATGAAGTAGATCGATTAGTTTTATTGGAGCCAGGGACGTGCATCTATAATTGTCAGTGACGTCATCAGCAGTGAAACCCAAGATCCAACGGAAGCGTCGTTTTAGACATATAGAGCGGGTGTACCCCATTAGCAGTAATGATGAAGAGTTCTGAGTAAATTGTAATTAACTGTTCAGAATTTTCAAGATATTTTTTTGTTTTTTTGTTTTTTGTTTGTTTCAAAATGTTAATGACATGCATTATTAAATTGACAATATTGTGATCTAAGAGATGTCCATATCAGTTGTAATTTCTGTCTATCAGCGTATCGGGTTCTAATCTAAGACCATGTTTCAGCATTTGCAAATAGACTGAAAAACACTCGAATTATTGGAACCATAATCACAATAATCATTTACCAAACAATGAATATATCGATATATATAGATCAATTAATTAAGTAACATTGCAACGTTACAGTAGACACGACTGCCTATTGGCACGCCGTATTCAAAGGGAACTAACTCCTGTAGAAATATAGAATTGAAACAAGCCGCTTGCTTTCGTCTCACTTTTCCCATCCAACCTTCATCAGATGGTTAGTGTAAAAATCGCCCTTCATTTTTTATGCTATTTCTCAAGATGAATCGTATTCATTCCTTTTAAAATGAAGATTCACACACACCAGGTATCCCAATACAATAAACCGATGCTGGCACAGATAACGCAAATGTCAAGGGTGGACACTTGTTGTTACTATGAAACCTTTCGCTTTGAGATTTGCCGTTTTTGTAGACAATCTTTTAACACTTCTAACCATATCCCTTACTTTTGATGGATGTGTTTGAATTGGCTACGGAGTTTGGGATACCAAAAGTGGGACCTCTCAAAAGACCATATATATAAAGACAGCTTCGTTGTCTTTGAAGAAAAGTATTGTACACAATACGACAGAGACCAATATAAATCTGCTACCCCCAAATTGCAAATCTTTTCTTTGTTTTCTATCTTTCCTATCCAAGATCTTTTTAAGGTGGTATCTTTTTCGGCATCCGTTCTCATATGACGTTCAACCACAAAAACCATTGCTAAAATATTGCCATCTGTTATATTCATTTCTGTTTCTGCCTCAAAATCCCAACCTGATCCAGAGTGTTCAACAGACTGTACAATCAGCGATTATGAATTTGTTTTGCATCAATTTATGCCAATGTTGCTGTCCAGAATTCCCAAGTTCATCAAGAATGAAAGATGCAAATTCACATACATCCTTTTCTTTCTCGTTAATCGTAGTCGTTTAAATATTCCTTTAATGATGATTTACAAATTATAATTTGATCAACCAACGCTATAAAATGTTGTTTTTTTTCAGATCTAGAGAGGTCTAGTTCAAAGTTAAACATCACGTATTAATAATTTCTCTCTGCAATGATTTTGAAATAAAGAATATACCGCATTAATATTGCTTATATAAATACCCCTTGCAATTTGTTTCATACTACCAGTACTTTTAAATTGCCATTATTTTTACCTTTAACATTTGAGACATTTACCAACTACTTTCATAAGTTCAGTTGAGTACTGATCTCCTCAATCAAGGTTAAATGGAAAAAACAATCTGATTAAAATCATATGTTACATGGCTTCGTTAACTTCGTACTACGCCTGAACATCTGAGTGTGCCGCGGTCAGGGTCACGTTCAGGTGACCTTTATTTTTATAAATACTCATTAAATTTTGACCAATCAGAGACCCTCTTTCAAAAGGGCGCTCGGAGTTGTAACAAATATGTCAGACATTGATGAGAATGATGCGAAAGTTCTGAAGATATTTGAGATTGATGGTCTGAAACCCGAACAGAAAAAAAATCGAAGCTTTATAAGAGAAGAAAGACTGTATGGTGGTGTTGCCTACGCAATTATTACCCAATGGTTACGTTTTCCTTGGCGTCGTAGAAACGTCAGTTCCCACCGCCATATTTGTTTTGGAAAACTAATTTGTTCGATACCCCTCGCTATTTATCTATCAACCATGATATTCCGATTCGCTGGCAAACTGATTGGTTCATCTAAAGATCACTTGAACGTGACCCTGACCGCGGCACATTCAGATGTTCAGGCGGAGCCATGTAACAGATGATTTTAATCAGATTGAGGGAAAAAAATAACAATTAACCACTCATGAGAAGGGGGGTTTAGGTAAATCCAAGTGATCCCCTCTCACTTGTTTTCTTTACATATCAATCTGAAACCGTGAATAAACACAACAGATACTTTTTGACGACGCCTGTTATTTAGTACGATCCAGTTAAACATATGATGTTTGCATGTCATTTTTGGTTACTGTAAACAAATTTCACTTGTTTCGCAGGATGTTCAACTGAAAACTATTGATATCAGTATTTGTAAGGTAGGGACATGCACTGCAACAATATTTTGTATTCATTGCGTTGTTTAAAGTTTATTTAGTCAAGTGACAAAATGAAAATCGAGTCAATAATGAAAATATCTATCTCCTAACGAAATTTTTCGTAGTTGATAATGACATGACCTGAGGCCAACGTCCAGTGTGGTCTGTTTCATATTTTGGGAAAGCCTGTGATAAAAATAGCTATGACAAAAATAGCGCAATATCCCGGCGCTTCAGTGTTCTTAAACATGTACAACACTACGCTGTCGACCGACAACACAGTGCCAGTTACGAGTCTGAGTTCACACATAACGCATTCCTGAATTTACACAATATATTGCAAGTAAGAATTATAAGTATCATAATATATACCTCTAATAAGATATTTCTGTTCATATTTGGATTTGAATAAAAAACAAATAGGTTTAATTAGAGGAAGCACGCAATGAGAGGGTGCCACGTGGAGAATTTCAAACCACAGAAAGTACGATATCAATAGATCACTCGATCATTTATAACGATGTTTGAGATTAAGATGATGTTGGAAGATGATTTGTATTCATAATAAATGCATGTACATGTACTCCAGAGAGGCTAGGTTACAAAGCGAGAAGTTACCTTCTCTTCTCGGCTGGAAAGACTTTTTTGTTAGCTAGAAATTCACCGACAGCTGCCGCTAAAACGTACGGCTGTACAGTTAAGGATTTCTCCATTACTGACTAAAAACTGATCAATTTCTCGACATGAATTGATCATGAAGAATTTAGTGACAACGTTATAAAAAAACTTACTTATTTAAATAACGATGACCTATACATTGTTATAAATTTTATAGTTTGGTTTTGGTTTCATATTGTTTAACGTCATATTAACAGCTGAGGTCATGTAAGGACGTGCCTCCATGTGTGTTGTGTAAGCGTACATGTGTGTATGTGGGTCGGAGACAGGGTATGTTTTGGTACTTGCCTCCCTGTGCGGATCTGATGCCGACTTTATAGTGCTATCTTACTGAAATACCATGCCGAATGAACCCAGCACAGCATTTCGCCTGGTCACATTATACTGACAACGGGTGAACCATTTGTTGTCATTACTCATAACGTTAAACGTTAAGTAGGGAATAACAACTACCATTTTTAAGGACTTGGGGTAGAACCCATTGCGTTCCTCACCTAGGCAAATGTGAAGCCAAAAGGGAGGTATTGCCAAGTAAGGCACCAGCAAATGAAAGAATGTAGAAGTAGAGCGAAATATCAAGATCCCAAGTATTGCAAAGAGGGCAACATATTTATTTGGTCGCTTTTGAGTCCCGTAGTAGAGGGCACAAAAGCAAATCCCTAAATTTGCTGGGGTTTCACACCTCTTACGATATACATTCTTTTCCAGATAACCTACAGGGGGTGACATGTTATAGAGGAGAGTAAGACCTGTACTATTGTTGATTGAGTTACCAGTTTGGTGTGGTGTGTTATTTAATGTTTAGCATTGGTAACCAGTTTCAAATTAACATAATATAACCATGAACCGCAGTTCATGACACACTCATTTTAGTGCTGCAACGGATGCGTGCCTACAGTTCGTTACCAAGTTCTATCTTGGACCCATTAATTGTTGTAACAAATAAGTGCCGCCAATATATACAAAATAATGGCCGTCTATCTGACTCAAATAACTACACCCGGTAGATATTTTACATTAATATACCTCTAATACTGATATAGTCAAAAAGCCAACTAAAGCAACTGTATCACAATATATCCGTCACCCTGTATCAACAGTAAATAGCCCCTTACTGCGACACCCGTGACTGTGTACACCCTTTAACTCGACCCACCTTGACCACGTCACCCTTTACCGCGACTGCCTTTTGACCAAGTCACCCTAGCCACTACGAAACCTATGCCTTGGTAAACCCTGTGTCTTGGTACCTGTCACTCTGTATCAACAGTACGTCGCCCTGTAATGTGATACCCTGTGACTATGCACACTATCCAGTAACACAATTGATTTTGACCATGTACTATAAAGGAATACAGTGGAACCCTAGCTTATGCAGATAGGCCCAAACTTATACAGCTTGGTCACTGATTACCTTTTTAGAGATGTTCCTTCTTCTTCGACCGCCAGAGCAAGAGAGAGCTTTTCATCTGATGGAACCTCTTTTTATATACCTAGCCATCCAATGAACTGCCTTCTTTCATTAGCCAATCAAAACTACTCTTACTTCCTAATTACATAGAAAT